ACATAGTGAATAACTAACAACATCTCTGAAAATTTAACAATCTGTTCTCTCAAGCCATCTGAGGCTGTTCTAGGATAGTACTGGAAGTACTTAATACTAACATCCTCCAGCTTGGGAATGTAAGTTTGATCAAAACATCCCAGTGCTATGACCCAGCAATCCCACTTTTGGGCATTTACACGAATGATCACAAACAAGACCACACTAAAGCTACGAGCACAACTATGTTTATTGCAGCATTATTTACCATAGCTAAGAAATGGAACCAACCCATATGCCCCTCAGTAGATGAATGGATCAAGAAAATGTGGTATATATACACAATGGAATTCTATGCCTCCATCAGAAAGAATGACATCGCCCCATTTGTTAGGAAATGGAAAGACTTGGAAAAAATTATATTAAGTGAAGTAAGCCAGGTCCAAAGAAACATAGGTCCCATGGTTTCCCTTATTTGCAATATCTAGTATATGTCTGAGACAAACAGAAACTGTCAGACAAGTGGATGTTAGGCGAAATGAACCCCAAGATAAGGGTTCAAATGTTTTTTTTCTTTCTTGTGATTGTTTCCAACATATTTATACGATGATTTCTTTGTTGCTTTGTGTGTACCTCTCCCAGGTATAAGCCCTGCTTTCACTGTATTTGATGTTGAAATAATTTGTGGAGGGAAAGAGAAGGTGGGCCCGTTACAACAATGAGATGTACAAGACGTTATGTCAAAAAATGAACTTTACAACTTTGGCGGGGTGGGAGGTGAGGGGTGTAGGGGTAGGGGTGGTAGGGGTATGGGGATGGGGGTGGAGAGTGGAAGGGATGTTATGGGGAAACAAAGGAGGAGGCAACAACACTTGATAAGAAATGTACTCACTATCTTGCCCATGTAATTGTAACCCCTCTGTATGGTATTTTCACAATAATAAAAAAAAATTTTAAATCCCAGTGTCTCCTTGAGACACCCACCTTCTTTTTTGTATATATTTTTATTGTAAAAATACTGCATAGAGGGGTTACAGTTTACCTGAGTAGGTCATGAGTACATTTCCTATTGAACATTGCTACCTCTTCCTTTGTTTTTCCCCTACCATCCATTCCCTCCCCACCACTCCAACTCCTCCCTCCCCACTCCCCAAAGTTGTAAAGTTCATTTTCAACACAGTGTTTTGTATATCTCATTGTTACAATGGGTCATCCTGTATCCTTATTTCAGCATTTTGTTATTTCCCTTACCCTCCCCAAATTAGAAAAATGTATATACAAGATGAAGGGCACCAGAATCAAATACAGTGAAAACAGGGGTTATACCATGGGAAAAGAACACACAAAAGAAAAAAATCACATAGCACATAATAAATACATTTAAAACAACAGCAAGAAAGATAAAACCACTTGTGTCCCTATCTTGGGGTTCATTTCACTTAGCATCATTTTATATGGTCATGTGTACATAGCTTTTGAGCTTTTCTGCTTGTCCTAGACATATACTAGTTATTGAAAATAAAGGAAACCATGAGACCTATGTTTTTTGGGGCCTGGCTTACTTCACTTAATATAAGTTTTTCTAAGTCTTTCCATTTCCTAACAAATGGGGCGGGAGACACCCACTTTCATCCACAGTGTTGACAAACCCCATGCTCCATTAGCGAGAATAGGTGCTCAGGAGATGGCTCCTTTAAACTTGTTTATTAAAAATCAAACCAGGCACCAGAGGCTCATACCTGAAACCCTAGCTACCCAGGAGACTAAGATCTGAGGATTGTGGTCTGAAGCCAGCCTGGGCAGAAAAGTCCATGAGACTCTTTATCTCTAATAAATTACTCAGGAAAAAAAAAAAACGGAAGTGATGCTGTGGCTCAAGTGGTAGAGCACTAGCGAGAAGCACAAAGAGGTTCAGGAAAGCGCCCAGGCCCTGGGCTCTAGCCTAAGAACCAGCGAAATAAATAAATAAATAAATGAACAGGCACTGGGGGCTCATGCCTGTAATCCTAACTACTCAGAAGGCTAAGATATGAAGATCATGGTTCAAAATTAGCTTGGGCATACAAGCTTGTGAGACTCTCATCTCTAGCCATCAAAACAAAGAAACAAAAAGTAGAGCTGTGTCTCAAGTGATAGAACATCCTTGAGTGAAAAAACTAAAGGACAGAGACTCAGGCCCTGAGTTCAAGCCTCCCCCCAACTCCCATCCCCAAACTTGGAGACTTGGAGAAGGAGTTTATGTTTAGTCTCCCTTTACTCATGTCACATACACAATTAACAATATAGCAGAAAGAGAGCTGAGTTCCCCTTGACCTTCCCTGAGGGAGGAAAACCCAAAGGACAAGGTTAGCAGGGAATGAAAGGTGGGACCAGCTCATGGGTAGCTGCTTGATTTCTGCTTGGCTTGGCTCAGACTTCCCTAGCAGCATCCACTGTTTGGAGTGGAGGTAAGTAGGTTGCAGGCTGGTGTGTGTATTTGCTGTGCATTGTAAAGAATAAGTGATCCATAAGCTTCATCATTATCTCTTCCCCTTGGCCATTATCACACTAGCAATGTAAAATATGTCACTTCTAAATGGCTAATGTCCACTTTGCTATCTGACACAAGCTACTAAATAGGCTTATATTTAGTATGGAAAGCTGCCTATTTCTATACACTAGGTCACAGTGACAGTGCAAGCTAACCAGCCACAGAAATCACGTCTGTAAAAGGATGAAACGGAATGGTTCTTTTTTCTTTAGTAACATCATGTAAATGAATATGCCTCAAATGCTCATGTGCACAGGAATCAGAGAGCATGGCACAATGTAGATTCTGATTCAGTAGGTCTGAGGTGGGCTCAAGATTCTGTACTTGAGCAAAATCTAGGCTGCTCATCCCAGGGTCACATTTTGCATGGGAAAGAGCTAAAGGTCAAGTCTCTCTCGTGGATATGGAAGTAAGTCAAGAACACTTGCCTAGCAAGTACAAGGCCACCTGAGTTCAGATTCCAGCACTGTCAAAAATAAAAATAAATAGAAGTCTCTCTCCCCATCCCTTACTCTCCAGCAAATATAGGACAGTAAGCATTATAGTTATCATTTTAGAAAATGCAAGCCAATTAAGGTTTCCGTATTTAATGGGTCACTGAATGTCTACTGCTATAGTTGAACTGAGAAGGGGCAAAATACTGCTTTTACTAAATGTTAACAGACTTTCAGCACTAACATTTAAGAAAAGTATCTGTTATTGACCCACAAAGAACTAAGCTATCAACAACCCACAAGTGGCCAATTATAGAGGTTAAATGACAACCAATAAATGACTTTTAGGACAAGAGTGTATAACACAGTAATTCTTTCGGGTCTGCAAGCTTCTTAGTTCAATTCCTGGTTGTGGATTTTTATTTTTTGGTCCCACTTGAAATGCAGGCAGACTACATAAAGGGAGCATGTCCTCCCAGCCCAATCATAGACCAAAGGCGTTGGAAGAGCAAATGGGAGGGGGAAAAGAGAGCTGAAGAACAGATAGTTGAAAAAAAAATACAAAGAAAGAGAAAGATGAATAAAAACAAGATTGCTATAAAAAATCTTTACAAAATGACTGAAACAAAATTTATAAATCTAGTTTCTACACTTTTTTTCTTTTTAGCAGTGCAGGACCTTAAACTCAGGGCCTCACAGTTGCTGGTAAGGGAGTCTACCACTTGAGATACTCTCACAGCTCCCTATCCTCTGTTTATGTATCTCCAGCATTTTATGACAGCTCTTCCTGTGCAAGACCAGTCTTACTTTTGCCCCCAGAACCTATATCTCTACAGTAATAACAAGTTCTTGGTGGACTTGATGAGGTAGGTTTATAGACAGGAATAGTTCAGAGAAGACTGGGTGTCTTCCCTAGGTCACATAGTACAACAGAAACCTTCCAGGAAGACTAGACAGAAGTTCCAGCCAACAGAAGTCCTCAGGGGACAGCAAGACGCCTGTGCATCTCCAGTGTTACATAACCACCAGTGTTTGCTTCATTAACTCATAAAACCATCCATTATTTGATCATTTTGGGCTGAGATTTAATTTTTAAAAGAAAAAAATTAGGAGGAAGCAGTCAGGCAAAGGAATTGTATTTCTGTAACATACAGCTGGAGCAGGCCTTACACAGTAGTGTTTAGTATCAACAGTCACCCTCCCTGTCCTCCCTGTCTCTTTAATACTCAGAAAATCTATTTCTGCTGAGGACTTTGTAGAGAATAGGAATGAAACACCTCTACATTCTTTCTTCTTCTCTAGCAGATAGCATTTTTATTAAATATGTTTTTATTGTAAAAATAATGTACAGAGGGGTTACAGTTACATGAGTAAGGTAATGAATACATTTCCTAAACATGAAAATTGTTTCAAAACTAAAAACATTGCTTTGAGGTTTAGAATAGACTCTCTCAAGGTGGGTATAGTGGCTGTAACTCCAACCATTCAAAGGCAGAAACAGGAGGGTAAATGAGTTGAAGACAAATCTGGGCTACATTCTGTCTAAGGAGAAGTAGAAGAGAAGAGGGAGGGAGAGTAAGAGCAGGAGGGAAAGGAAATGATGACAATCGTATCATTCATACTGACATTGTAATGCAAGCTTTTCCTTCTGCCAATAAGAGACATGGTTACCTAGGTCACAATCGCCCTGGAAAATACAATATGAATATGACAATATGTCACGAACTGCCATTACTAATAATCACAAAGCCTCATTTTGTCTTCTGGCCAAATATACAATTAATAATTTTATTACTCATCCAATGGGTGAGACAGTACTGACTCAGAAATCAAGCCACAAGGCTCTGCCAGAATATCAGTTTTCATCCTTTTACTTGCTCTGGGCCCTCAGGCAAATTATCATCCTGATCTGTGTCCTCATTTGCAAAATTGGATAATATCTACTTCCCCAGATTACAACAAGGATTAAATGAGTGAATGAATGGACACTGTCTAGAAGGAAATCTGACACACGGTCCTGGGTAAATCGTACCTAATCATACTCTTCACCTTCTTACCTTCTCTCTCTGAATGGCCTTCATTTTTTGGAGCTCGGCTTCTTCAGCTTCTTTCTTGATTCTTAAAGATTCTTCTCTCTTTAGCTAAATTGTATTGAGATTACAGAGGACAAAAAAGCAGTTACCATTTTTCAGTCTGAACTTCTGGAACACAAAATTATGATGAAAGGCAAATTACAGTATTGTTTGTGCTGTACCTCACCATGATTATAGGTTGTTGCTTCAAGCTACTTAAGACTGTAGTGAATGGCCAGACTACATCTCCTGCCTATGAAATATCTGTGCTTCTTGTGTGTGTGTGTGTGTGTGTGTGTGTGTGCGTGTGTGTGTGCGTGTGCAAACATGTGTGTCCATTTCTCTTTTCTCTCTCCAGTCTCTGTCTCTCTCCTCCTTTGCGTCTTTGTCTCTCCATGTCTTTTTTGTCTCTTTCTGTCTGTCTCTCTGCTTCTATTTTCCTCTGCTTCTTGATTTCTTTCTGTCTCTGTGTCTCTCTTGTCTGCTCTATGTCTCTGCCTTTGCCTCTCTCTGTCATTGTCTCTCTTTCTCTGCCTCTGTCTTTTTGTCTGTCTGTCTGTATGGAAGGGGAAAGAACAGATAATAGTTCCTGATTATACAACTCAGTGGCTGGTTGCTGATGGCTCATGCCTGTAATCTTAGCTACTCAAGATGCTGAGATCTGAGGATTGTGGTTTGAAGCCAACCTGGTAAGGAAAGTCCATGAGACTCCAAGTCCAATTATCTGCCAAAAAGCCAAAAGTGAAGTTGTGGCTTAAAATGGTAGAGGACTAGCCTTAAGCAAACAAACCTCAGGGACAGCACTCAGGCCTTGAATACAAGCCACAGGACCAGCACACACACGCATGTGCGCATATAACAACAACAAAACCTTCATAGTGTTCACTATAAAAAAAATCACTGTGTATCTTAAAATTTTTCTTACATATTATTTCCACGATTGACTAGCGCAAATTCAATCAGTTCAAACACATTTAAAATATAGTATTGTTGATATATAGTTATTTATGGAAAAATTAACCTTAATCAAAGGTCATGCTAACACATGCATGGCTTGGATCAAAACTCTAGGTATTCCTCTTTGCTTCTCACTTTCTGACTTCCATTTTAAGAGTTGTATTTTGCATTGGTTTAAGGATTTTATGTTTTTGCTGGGCACTGGTAGTTCTTGTGATCCTAGCTAGTCAGGAAGCTGAGATTTTAGGATTACAGTCTGAAGGCAGTCTAAACAGACAAATCTTGAGACTCTTATCTCCAATTAACTAGAAAAAGCTAGAAGTGGAGCTGTGGCTCAAATGGTAGAACACCAGCCTTGAGTGAAAAAAAGCCAAGAGCTGATAAAGTGACCACGTTATTTTATGGTTGTTCATTAAATTATGGTACTCAAATTCTTTGACAAAATTAAACCAAAAGAGATGAGTTCTGACCTTTTGCTGATATTTAGATTGCATCAGTTGGAGTTGTTGCTTCTTCCTCACTTCAGACTCTGATTGGTTTCCCCCTAATTGAGGAGGGAAAAGCCATGAAGGCAAAACATGGATGTCAGTCATTAAAGACAAGTACAAGTTAAGTTTATAGCATGAGCTTCCTTAACAATTCCCTACCCCTGGAAATAAGACAGCAACCAGTTATCTTAGTTAAGATAAAGAATGGTCACTCCTTTAAAAGAGAAATACAGCCAGACAAAAAATGATGAGATCATGTCTTAAAAAGATAATAATGCCAAGGATTTTCAGCCAATAGGTCATTAAAGTTTTTTCTTAAATGGATATCATAAGTGAAGCACTATCCTGAAGAGTAATAAGTATATCCAGTCTTAGAGATTCTATAATATTTCTCCTACTTAAATATGGCCATTCATTATTCTAACAGAAATAGGGCCCAATAGTGCTTCAGTGTTGTGTGTGCTTTTACTTCTTTAACCTCTACTGTCTTATGTTCATGTAGTGAAGCTCAAGAAACCCTCCAGCTCCTGTTACTATACAAGTATTTACTCTTCATAATCTAGTCTTCCAAAATATAATGGGAATATTCCAGCTAGTAACTAACTATCAATCCATACTATTTATTGTTCTTTCATTGGGTATTCAAGAAGACAACAAGGAAAGAAGGATATTTGCTTGCTCTTTTTCTTCAACTAAAATATGTTGGGGCCAGAAGTCCTCATAGATTGTACATCTCCTAAGCATGAACACTTAGGGATTTCTCTGTGTTTATACAAGCTTGGCATTCATATTAAAAAGACACCTTTGAAATCACATTCTGGGGCTTTGGTCATGACAAGTGTCAGATCTGAGAGTCACTGTCACAGAAGATGCATTCAAAACCATTTGCTGTCAATCTAGGTTTTATCATTGAACTGACAAAGGCACAGTAAAGTTTTCTTCTGAGTCTCAGAAGATATAACAAATCCTATTTAGTTGGGGCTATTCAGTCACTTTTGTGGGACATCAGACAGAAAGAACATGAATATTGAGTCCTCTATCTATTGTTGTAGCTATTCTCTATTTCCTAAACTACTCTAATGTTTTAAGTGGTAGAAAAGTGGGGAGGGGGGAAGTTGAGAGAAGTAGAAAGTCTAAGTGTCTAAATTTTTTCAAGTTTTGTTCAAACCTCCTTGCCAAGTCCAACATACTTTAGAATTTATTCTATTCCTTTGGTCCCTTCCCTGGCCCATAATACCTGGCCAATTCTAAATATTCTATTAATAGAAATTTTAAAATGAGAATTGTGCTCATTGTCTGCCAAGGCTAAAAAGACAATAGGTCCCAACTGCTCCAAATTCCAAAATGAAACAAAGAAAGATCTGCAAAAGGAATTAAAAATCTGTTTGGAGAGTCTTCACTGACAACAGCCTTCAGCCTATAAAACTTTTTTGTCTTTTGTCTTTCTGCATTCCATCTCCCCTGTAGGCACGTGTGGAAAAAAATAAGCAAGAAAGTTTAATCAGCTGTAGCCCAGCATTCTTCAGAGTATGAGTGATGCTAAGAAAAGTCAATGCTAGAAGGTATAAGATGGTTTTCAGTTGGTTACTCTGGTGATGTTCAACAAGCAGTGGCCACACTGTAAACAGCCTGCCTTCTCATGGTTGGTGGAGAGAAAGGTATACTATGTTTTGGAATGTCCATGTGGATTTCATGACTGAGAGTGCCAATCTAAAGCCATCTTAGAGAAATACATCTCTGAGCACCATCTAGAGAACAAAGAGTCAGCCAAGAGCCACTCATAATGTCCAGAGCTGCCCGAGAGTATATCATCTCTATCAGAGAAACCAAGGAGAGATGGTAGGAAACAAGGAGGAAAGGTGACATTTGACCTTAATCTTTTTCACAAAATGCAATGGGATGTTCATGATAATACTATTTCTTTCACTCATTAAGTAGTTTCAAAATAGCTTATTTTCCTGAGATCCTAGAAAAAATTCTTCTTTAAAACTACCAGGAGAGTAAATAGACCTGACCTGACTCAAGACAAGTTTGTATGAATTTGATCAATGAGATCTGTGTCCAGCCCTTTAGCTGGTGGTGATAGAGAAAAGAAAGAAAGGAGGTGAATGAGTCCCCGTTAGGTAGCTTCCTCTTGAATGGCTCAGACCCTTGCAGAGGTGGCCCAGACAATTCATCACACTGGCAGCACCTGTTCGCATAGCCCAACGGTCTCTTTCTGTCCCCACAATGAACACCCAAGTCACATTTATCTTTATACCAACCACTGTGTCCCCAGTTCACGCTCCTCTTGCTCCTGGAATTGACTCTCCCTTCATTTTTCTTCACATTAGCATTTAAGTGCCATGATTAATATGCTGTGAGAGCTTTTCCTCTCACTCAGACTGGTGCTATGACAGGGCATATGCAGCGCCCCAGGTAAGCTTTCTTCAGAGCTGATCATCAAAGAGGCTCTAAATTATTTAGCAATTAAGCCATCAGTTTATTCTCATACAAGTGTGGCCTCATCATTTGTTACTTGCAGAAGACTAGAAATAATATGCCTGCACACTGAAATGTTTCAGAGTCAAATGCATCCCATCCCAAACGGTAGGATTACCCAAACCATCTCTCTAATATACAAAGGCAGACATACACAGGTGCCCACAAGGTCTGTAGGTGGCCCTTTTGCCCCCACCTGCCCCAGTTCTGCTGCTTACCCAGCCGCCGTGGCACCAAGTGAATTGGTTTTGGTCTATTCTGCTGCTTCCATTTCTCAAGGTTCACCAGCTCTTGCTCAGCAACTAAGCCAGGTAAGAAATATCAGATCAATTAGTAGGGTTCTGAAAGAAAATGGAGTTGTTTTAATGCATAAGAAACAGCCACCAGATAGCAACCATCACATACCAGTATGAATGGATAAGATTTCCAGGAAAAGAAAATTACCTGTCAGCCCTACCCTCTGGGAGTCACTCACACCTAAGACATTTCCCAAGTGTCTGTGAAGAGTGTACACAGGTGAGAAACATCCTGATGTCCCACCAAAACAAGAGCACAGTTTTTCCCCCAATTCTGGCATTCTGCAAGCCCAACAGGAAGTTCATTTTAAAGGTTTCCTATAGCAAATGTGTGTGAAACTAGAATATGCATGTCACATGGGTCAATATGTATCTCCAGAGAATTCCTATGCCTATATTTGATGCATTTAGATGCATTTTAGTGTTCTCCAAACCCACTACAACCATATGGGAGTGAGAGTTCTGCCTCTGCTCTGGGTCCCAGCATTCTGGACCACTGGTCAAATAGTTTGCTTCCAGGGGAATGAGCTCATTGGCAAGAACTTATTCTTTGTGACAGCAGGGGGCGCCAGGGAGATATTAGTTCTGTTCCTCCAGCTTAGGCCCTCATGGCGAATCCATTATTCTTTAGTGCCCATTTATGAAATTTTTTAACTAGAAAAGGAAAATTCCAAAATATATCAAACTTAAGGCCACACTGAGATGTAAACTCCTGTTAAGCATTTAAGGCAAAGGCTTGTAAGGAGCCAAAATCTTTGGGGCTCTGTTGCAGATGCCTGCAGTTCCCACTGAAGAGCTATAATGGGTATATTCAGCGCTGATGCACTGTTCCACCAGAGGGTCCCTTGTCTGGTGGGGATCCTTTTTTTTATATATTTTTAGTTTTTTTATTTATTGTGAGAAAACCGTACAGAGGAGTTACAATTACATGGGCAAGATAACGAGTACATTTCTTAACAAGCATTGTTGCCTCCTCTTTGTTGGTGAGGATTCTTTTGATGCTGGCTTATCATTAGTTAAAAATACTGAGTTTCCTACAATGAGAGCATAGAATTTTAGTGTTGGCACCACACCCAAGTCTCAAAGTTTCCTATCAACTAAGAACTTTAGCTCTCATGCCTATACTTAAAAAGATAAAACTCACTGGGCCCCGGCGGCTCATGCCTGTAATCCTAGCTACTCAGGAGGCTGAGATCTGAGTTCAAAGCCAGCCCGGGCAGAAAAGTCTGTGAGACTCTTATCTCCAATTAACCACTAGAAAACTGGAAGTGGTGCTATGGCTCAAGCAGTAGAGCACTCGCCTTGGGCTGAAGAGTGCAGGGACAGCACCCAAACCCAGAGTCCAAGCCCCACAGCAGCCAAAAAAAAAAAAAAGATAAAACTATAATGACAGAAGGTAGCATATATATTTGCTGTATTTTAATAAAACACTAACTGTGTAGAAAATAAGTAAAATGTGGTCCCTTCCCTCAAAGAAGTTATAATCCAAAGACAAGATAAATTACACAAATCAAAAGAATTAAAAGGCTGGATATGGTGGCTCAAACCTGTAATCTCAGCGCTTAGGAGGACAAAGTAGCTTGGGCTATAGAGCACAATCCACCTCAAAAAAAAAAGTATTCACAGTGCCATAAAAATATGAGCAGTTAGCTTACTATTTCCACAATAAGATGTCTGTACTTAGGCCCAACAGAGAAACAAGATTTATAATCACATCGTGTGGTTCCATTACTACTATAAATAAATTTAGAAGGGCTAAAAACAGAACAACTTTAGAGGTAAAATTAAAACCAGTAATATTATAAAAGAAGACATGGGAAAGATCTGGAAAGTGTATGTAAATGAGAAAACAAAAATAAACCAACTATAAAGAACACCAAAAGCATGCTAAGTGGCAGCTGAATACGTATACATACTCCTTTGTATCTGTTGTCTCCGTTTTTCATTCGGTGCTATCAAGGTATATGCGTTTGCACTAGAATGAAGAAGTAGGGGAAAATGGTTATTGTCACAAAAAGCTACTAATATATCTAAGCCACCATCTTTCTCCTGATACACTGGATTTAGTCCGCTCATCATTAGGTAGGCACTGAGGAAGAAATGGAAGGTAATCTTAAGATCCAGGCCTGCTCTCTGGGAACAGTTTATGCTCTAGTTGTTAAAGTCATTCAAATGTACACTGTCAGGTATGGACCTATAAAGCAGTAGCTGGATGGACAAGTTTTTGGGAGCACTGCTTCTCCATTGCTTCTTGGTAGACTGCCCATTGAAGACTCCATTGCTCCTCCAGGTGGCCTATGTAGTTAAAGTCCTTTAAACAATGACCTCTTCTATACTGGGAGAACAGAAAACCCTGGTGCTTCCTTTGTTCCCATCAACTGGGGTTACCAGCTGTGTCCCTGCGGCTGCTCCCTCTTGAAGATGAGTAGCCAACTGGCCACAATCTTGTGCTTTTAGGCTTGGAGTTTTATAAACCTGGACACAGGTGGAGAATAATCAAGAGCTCAGAGAAGCAGAGATTTTGTGTAACATCGTGATACTAGAGACACTAAAATACTTAAAATACAGGGAGCTTTTGAGGGCAGAAGGTAAGACTGATTGATAAGATGTGCCAGCTCTGTGGCACAGTGCCTAGAACAAAATGCCTACATGATGAGATGTGGGCAGAAATGAAATAAAAATGATGCCGCAGATGCCGGCTGTGAGTCTGGACTGGGTGGTGGCTGATGTGTGCTGTCCCACTAGCACACGAATACTTCATAAAGCAGAAATATAGCACAGCCACAGACTGTAGTATACATGTGGGTACAGTTTTAGAGGAAATGCTGTAGATGAACACAGCTAGATGGTCTTTGAAGTCTCTCTTCAACTTGGAATGAACCATTTCAATAGGGCAAATTGGCTGAGAGGCAGCACAGCAGAAGCCAAAAGTGCTGATTAACCGAAGCTGTTTCCTTCCTTAGTGCATGGTTTTCCTAGCATATAGCCTTCAGCCAGATTAAAGTGGGCTTTCATTTTAGCCATGTACACGTGAGGTGAGCAACACCTTTGCATGCAAATGGGGCTACTGGGTACCCAATTACCTAACGTGTATCAGCAGAAATTGCATGGGTAGCCTAGCATGCACACACTGTAATGAATACAGAATTAGAAGACTGCCACTGGAAATTAATCCCTTATCCATTTCACATTCTTTGTTCACCAGAAGAAAGACTTTTTTTCACTCCTCAGTTGCCAGTTCTTTACAGGAGCTCAGGAGCTGCAATTCTGCTATCGCTCATACCTGGAGACTTGAGTTAGATGCAGTGGTGAGCCATTCCACAGAGCCTTAAACATGGGATGCTAGGTTTAAGATTAACCATGAAATTGCTGCACCATCTTCAATGCATGCTACAAAGGTAGTGGTGCCGAGGTTCTCGCTACAGCAGGATTTGCCTATATTCAGGTCCCCAGTTCTCATAGACTACTCATACTACTCATAGACCCACCCAGAGGATTTTCTGGTATGTGTAGTAAAGGGCAGAGTTTCTGATTCAGTAGCATTGTGGTAAGTTTCAATAACATGCATTTTCAACAAGTTCTTAGCTGATGCCGACATCCTTGGCCTAGATACCACCACATTTGGAAAACAATTACAGTAGATCAGGTACATTGTCTGTGATGGTTCAAATTAAGACTGGTCCCCATCAAGATTCATGTTGAGGGGCTCGGTAGACATGTTGAAAAGCAGGTGAGCTATGGGGACCCCACTCTCAGAAGGAATTTATGCCCATATCTCATAAATGGATTAAGACTCACTAGACTGGATGAATTGAGACTGTTGTTATAAAATGGTGCCATCCATATGTCTGGTCTTTTGCATGTGTCTACTTCCCTTTCTGCTACTCTCCTGTGATGACATATAGCCATAGGCCCTCATGAGATGCCAGCATCATGCTGTCTGAATTCTCTACCCACCAGAATTGTGAGCTAAATAAACCTCTTTACTTAAACATTATCCAATATTGGGTATTTAGTTATAGCAGCATGAAAGTTATGAATAAAGAACACTTCTGCTAAAAGGGAACTTGGGGATTAATTAATGTCACATATATAATGATATATATTATATATTAGTGTATATTAATATAGTGAAATTGATCGTTTTATATTAAATTATATATTAATATATTATAAAGGTATTAGGAATTAAATATATATATATATATATATATATATATATATATATCAAGTTTTAAAATATTGATGAAGACACAGAGATAAATCATGTCCTAAAGATCTCTAGGCTAATTAAACAATCAGGCTGAGAATCAACCCAGGACTTTTGACACAGACAAGTAAACTGTCTGCAGTAAGCTTTGCAATTCAACATAAAAGGCATAAAATATGACAACCCCTTAACTTCAGCCCCTTAATAGATTCTAAAGAATGTGACCATTTATCTGAATATTCGTTAGGGACTTATTATGCCAAAGGCTAATGGGGAGCTACCAAAATACATAAGCAACCTCTGTAACAAAACTTATACTTTAGTAAGGAACAATTTAAAAACAAAACAAAATAAAACATCAGACCAGAGCACAAAGCTGTCCAAACAAGTGTTAAGATGAGAAGATGTAAGGAGTCAGAAATCATGGCAGAGAAGATTTTCAGAAGACCCAAAGGGGTAAGAAACTTCAGGAAAGGGGTGACATTGATCAAGGTGCATCATATTAATAAACTGACAGGCTGAATTGAAACCCCCTTTGTAAAACTACTTAAAGACACTTTATTTTTTGCCAGTCTGGGGCTTGAACTCATGGCTTGGGCACTGTCCTTGAGCTTATTTTGTTCAAAGATAGCACTCTACCACTTGAGCCACAGTGCCACTTCCAGTTTTCTCTGTGTATGTGGTACTGAGGAATCAAATCCAGGGCTTCATGCCTGCTAGGCAAGCACTCTACCACTAAGCTACATTCCCAGCCCCAAGATAATTTTTTTTAATTATTTAAAAGAAAACTTCAGGGAAGAGCAGGTTAAAGCTAGAGGGACCCTGGAATAGCAAAAAATGTTTCTTGGCCAAACATTTGCAAAGAAATTTTAATTCTTATGAAAATTTTGGAATAGGTTTGAAAAGAAGAATAAATCTGTAATTAAGTCTGATACTGGACCTTCTGGCAGAAGACACAGACTCCTGGATTGGAAACAAAGAGCTTACTGCACAGCCAGCAGCATGACTATCAGCTTATTTTCCTCTGTTCTGTTTGGTCTCAGATTTTATGGGGGCAATCTTAGATATAGGACTGCATACAATCTCTGGCCAGTGTGTAGAGGCTTACGGCACCCAAAGACAGCAGAGCAATGAAATGAATTACCTAGACCAGGAAGGAGAGATTTTGATCAACCATATTTTTACTCATGGTCCTAGTAAAATATGTTCTCTGTTAGGGAATACATTGGCAAACTCCTTAGCAATATTTTATTGGCTAATAATGCCAAATCTAAAACATCTTATAAAATTCACAAGAAAGTATTGCCAAGTAATTTAGCTTTCATTCCTCTTACTTGCAGTAAGAAAAGGAGATAAAATCTAAGGATATGCTTTAAAAAAATATTGTGTGTCAGAGTATAATGCCATGATAAAAATATTCATCCCTTTGCTCTTAGCTTTTTCTTGACATGAATAGGAAGCATCATTTATTAATGATATCAACCAATTAGTTTCCACCCACAGCAAAGGCCTTTGCCATTCTAGCCTTTGCAGCTTTCCCTCTATCCAAAGCTACTTATCTGGACAAAGCCAAGCTACCTAGTTTTAGCATTCTGGTCATTTCCTGATTAAGCAACATTCAAACTACTGAAACAAATATATGTTTTTTTTAATGAGTTGCCTTAATTATCTCATTGAAATTTAATGAAATGTCTCAACTGGTATGATTATTTTCACTTCTTAACAGCACTGAGACAGACCAAATAACATTTGGAAAGAGTAACTCGAGACAAAGAGAAATGTCTTTCTGCACAATAAAGAAAAAGAAAGGAAAAAGGATGCAAGACACGTTTCCCTGTGAAGCCTCTGAGTTACACAACTGCCTCTCACATGTACATTCTTGTGCTGTTTTTATAAAAATCTCATCCGTAAGCACTCTATGAAAAACTGTTATATTGAAGTTATGAAAAATATCTTGGCTGGCTAAAGGTATTACATAAACATATCCCCTGGAGTGTGCAAACTGCACCAGATGTAATTTAAATTTCTAATTAGAAACAGTACTGGTCTGATTGAAAAAGAAATGTAGTCAAGAATAGAAATTCAGAAGGAGGTGGTCAAGAAAGTTATAGATTACTTCAAACCCAGTAGTAGATATATCAAGTCTATTGTCCTATTTAAAAAAAAAAAAACAAAAAAACAAAAACCACTGGCTTGATGTTTTTATAGTTCAAGAAAATTTTGTCTTTGGTCATGATTGGAGGAAAAAAGGATTTTGGAGTGATGAAAGGTACTAGATATTTTTCTAAATAACAAGGATTCTATTTTGCCTTTAGTATGTGATCTTTAATGTAAGAACCAGAAGCTTTACTGTTTTTAATCCACAGGAGTCAAAACTTAGGTTGCTGGAAGTTCCTTTTTTAGAAAACAGACTAAATTCCCAGACAAAACAAGAAAATAACAAGATGGGGCTGAGTAAATCACCCTCTGACACACCCATCTTTCACCAGGGCTACTCCCAACCCCTGACCCAGCATTCCACTCCTCGGGTGTGAATGGCCTTACTTTTCTTCTTTGGTCCCAGAACTCGTGAAACCTAAACTATTCACTACCACCCAAGAAGCTCATACATACTTGTAGTTGCTTCATTCTTTAATGAGAACAACTCCTAGCTTCTATGAGAAGGCCAAAATTGATAGCCAGAGGGTAGAGATTTGCTAGCAACAAATCACCAGGGCCTTGGTTGATCTGATGGCTTGATGGAGATCAAGAAAATAGGTGTGCAC